TGAAAACAAACCGTCAGCAAAACTGATCCATCTCGTAAGCGTTACTTCCAGTTGTTAGTGCATGTGTCTCAGTCTTTGAAACGCTGAGCCTGTGGTTAATTTAAACACTTTTAACACAACCCAGCTAGTATAACAATCCTCTGCGAGGTGGAACCCCTCTCTAAGACACCCCTGAAATGAGAAAACCTATCTAATCTCTCTTTTTGTCCGAGAACAATTCTTGCATTAACTCCTGTAAAATATGGGCGCTTTACTAACACCACTAGGTTTTTTGTCCCAGAGACAGAGGGCTTCATTGTATGCCCTTTAAATCTTCCGTCCCACTGTAGTCGAGATTAGAGGGGTTCCACTGAATATTGCAGATCAATAATATAACGGTTTGTCACCGAATGTGGACTAACCCAACAGTCTGCAGTTTGTCCAGCCACATCTCCTGCTCCTCCACCGTCTCTGGACACAGTAGGACCTCAACCCCTGATACCAGAGTAGCCCTCAGGTGAATAGCGTGGGACTAGGGATGATGGAATAAGTAGTGGAGACTCTCAATAAGGGCACTGTTTCGCTCTGGTTGCTAATACACTTAAACCTCTGAAAAAAGGACACCTCTTTATACAATTGGACACCAGCACAGCTCTCAGTGGACTATGTAGGGTGGATGGAGACTCTTAATTTTGCTCTGGTTGCTAATACTTAAACCTCTGAAAAAAGGACACCTCTTTATACAATTGGACACCAGCACAGCTCTCAGTGGACTATGTAGGGTGGATGGAGACTCTTAATTTTGCTCTGGTTGCTAATACTTAAACCTCTGAAAAAAGGACACCTCTTTATACAATTGGACACCACACAGCTCTCAGTGGACTATGTAGGGTGGATGGAGACTCTTAATTTGCTCTGGTTGCTATACTTTAAACCTCTGAAAAAAGGACACCTCTTTATACAATTGGACCCAGCACAGCTCTCAGTGACTATGTAGGTGGATGGAGACTCTTATTTTGCTCTGGTTGCTAATACTTAAACCTCTGAAAAAGGACACCTATATACATTGGACACCAGCACAGCTCTCAGTGGACTATGTAGGGTGGATGGAGACTCTTAATTTTGCTCTGGTTGCTAATACTTAAACCTCTGAAAAAAGGACACCTCTTTATACAATTGGACACCAGCACAGCTCTCAGTGGACTATGTAGGGTGGATGGAGACTCTTAATTTTGCTCTGGTTGCTAATACTTAAACCTCTGAAAAAAAAAGGAACCTCTTTATACAATTGAACCAGCAAAGCTCTCAGTGGACTATGTAGGGTGTGATGGAGACTCTTATTTGCTCTGGTTGCTAATACTTAAACCTCTGAAAAAAGGACACCTCTTTATACAATTGGACACCAGCACAGCTCTCAGTGGACTATGTAGGGTGGATGGAGACTCTTAATTTTGCTCTGGTTGCTAATACTTAAACCTCTGAAAAAAGGACACCTCTTTATACAATTGGACACCAGCACAGCTCTCAGTGGACTATGTAGGGTGGATGGAGACTCTTAATTTTGCTCTGGTTGCTAATACTTAAACCTCTGAAAAAAGGACACCTCTTTATACAATTGGACACCAGCACAGCTCTCAGTGGACTATGTAGGGTGGATGGAACACAGTGGAACCTCTTGCAATGAGGGACACCTATCTAAGGTCACTTTCTTACTCGGGTGCTCTAGTTTAGTGATTTACTTTATGGTGCCGTCAAACCGCTACCAAGAGAGAAAGTTTTACACTTTCCCACGTAAAAATATTTATTAGAAAGAGAATCCACTTATGTCAGAGTTCAAACTCAGGCATAGTGACTGGAAGTCTAGTGCAGTAGAACTCCCACAGGCAAAAGCTGGTGGTCCCCACTCAGTCTTATACACACACCACCACTTGCCAAATTTCTGATAAAAGGCATAATGACACGATAGAGATTTGTGCACTGCGCTAATTCCCGTGTTTAGCTACAAACACACATGTAGCCTCAAGTAAACTATAGTGCTGCTAGCTACATTACATACTCACTCACAACACAGACAAACCGGCAAAGTTGAAAAGCGGGAGTGCAATCTCAGCGTGCTATAAACCGGGCATCACTTCCCTAGGTCCAGTAAAGATTGCACACATGAGCTCAAGTCCACGGGAAAGCGTAGGAAGACCCGAGTGCCATGATAACCTTTCACCATGCATAACTCTCCTCGGTGACTGGCTAGCATAAAGCCTTTCCTAATTAGCAACATGGGCTCCGGGCCAAGGCCTCAGTATAGGCTGCATTCTGTGGGTCTTTGCATCAACTAATGGTCTGGGGAACTAAGTAAATTCTCGGTCCCTGGACAACCAAAGCTATGCTTTGAGGGGTATGGATGAGTAGACTGGCTTGGCCAGAGGTAGGTATCCGACTGTCATGAAATACCGTGACGTACGCCCGTCTTCCTCTACCATGATAGACATACAAATACGAATAGATTCGTGGTGATTTGGTTGGCTGGTAGCTAGCTCTTAGATGCCTGTTTGGTGTCATGGTTAAAGTACTACACACGATGCAGAGCCCATGAATCCTCTTTACCTCCACTCAAAACTCTGCTATTACCTATAACAAGAGCTGAACACTTTCTTGCATGCTGCAATGTTTATTATCTGCACATTGTTGTATGCTAACGAAAAACTCTTGCTATCAACGGTAGTAGGCATAATACGTAGCTCTTAGTTACTAGTTTTACCTGGACGACGGACGATTCTGCGGGGGAGTTGAAGAAGAAATCTTCAATCGACTTCTCAGCGTCCGCAGACGCGGTTACGGCCCCAAATATGTCTGCGAGCAGAGCTCCGCTAAACTCGGGAGAGTCGCAGTGGATGGTGTAAAAGAATGAGTGTCCCAGGATCACGAACCAGCGCTCTGCAACCTCGTTGTCGCCGCGAGCGCCGTGCCGTAAAAAGCCACGGACCGCAGCGCGGCCATCGCCGGCTCCCCCGCTGCCGCTCTTCCACACGGCGCGTAGTTGCTCGTGCAGCCGCACCGTTTCTCCGCTTGACGACATCGCACTAACCGTCTGCGCTCTTCAGCTTCCCCGGGGTACCGGGTGGTGGTAGAACTGCCGGCATTGCGCATGCGCATAAGCCAGCGTTCTGGGCGTACCACGCATGCGCACAAATCAAGCGCGCGATGTGTGTTTGTATATTCAGCAGCAGCAGCAGCAGCAACACTAAACAGGAAAAAACCAAGAAGAAAGGGAGAAATTATGTGAGAGTCTCACGAGAGAAAAGTTCCTAATGTCAATTGATAGAAGAAGTGGTGTTCAGAGGCTTCTGAATGTCAATAATCATGACGGACACGTTGTCAGTGCAGCCTCGTTTGACCGCTTCCACGGCGATCCTGTTACACGCCTCCTCGTAGCGGACTTCTCGCAGGGTCAGAGGTCGTGTTGATTCAAAAGTTAGTCTCGGCTTCAGTAGCTGCAATAGAGTGGTAAAAAAAGATCTACGGTATGTGTCGTCAACATCAATACAAGCAGACGCAAACAACACAAAATACGCCAATGATATAATACATTAAGTCATAATGAAGTAATTTATTTCTGCAAAAATTCTTGATTGGTGAATTTGCCTCCTATCCTCTAACCTAAATTCCTGCTGCAAAAGTGTACCGAAACTGACAGAAAAACCGGTTCCGGAACAACTGGATCAATCCTTTTGGTTAACCCTTATATAAAGGACACCTTTGTACAAGGCAAGGATAGTTTTTAATGGCCAAGTGTGTCCTTTATTCTTTATTCAGAGATTCAACTGTAAAATAAAACGTACCATCAGGAAGTTGAATGGTGGGGTCCTGCAGAACAGAACTGACTTATCATCAGCTGATCATGTGCCCAACGTCACAAAAAACTCACCTCCAGAACTGAAGTCACAAAGGCAGCTGCCTCGTCGGTTGAAAACACCTTCCACAGACCGTCGCACGCCACCAAGATGAATCTACCAATAACATGTTCCGCGAGAACACTGGGAATTACAGCAGTAGAAGTGTGCATACATTATGAAGGGACAGCAAAAATTACATCGTATCTGCAGGTCAATGGTACATACATTACTGTCTGTAACTTTAAAAGGGAATGTGGCAGTTGTATATAGGGTCTAAATTTAGAAATATTACTAAAAACGGAACTTAATAGAATTCTTTCACTGTGCCCCTATTGTGTTGTTCTATCTTTAGTAACATTTGACATGCATATATACTGCAAAGTATTTCTCTACCAAAAACTGTGGTTGTCATTGAGATTTTTTCACTAAAAAACTCTCCCACTGAACTGACCTGTCATTGTGAGTGAGGTGACATCGAAGTACATCGGGAACAGAGATGATGCCACAACGTTTGAATCGACCGTCTCCAATGGAACGTGACACTTCAACTATTCCCATCACTCTACCTTCCCTGTCGAGAAAATGGAGAGGAGAAGACAAGAGAGGGAAATAGAGAAAAGAGGACGATGTTGAGAAAAAGAGATAGAGAGAAAAGAGGGAGAGAGAGAAAGAGGTGTAGAGGAGAGAGAAAGAGGGAGAGAGGAAGAGGGGAGAGGAAGAGGGGGAGAGGAAGGAGAGGAAGAGGGAGAGAGGAAGAAGGGGGAAGAGAGAAAGTCTAACCACACACCTCATAACACACACTCTCTGAATTTCTTGGTGGCAAATACAATACCTATAGTGATCAATACACACAGTACCTCACTGTACCTCCAGCTTTCTCGATCCTCCTCCTCTCTTCAAACTAAAAGGCAATATATATACACAGTAGCAGACTCATTTTCCACAGAAAATAGATATCACTACTGCCAACTTAAGGGCAACAAATGTTAAGTTAACCAATGCCCAATTTGATGAATATCCTTTTGTGTGGGTTGGTTCTTAGTGGCGTACTATGCACTGAGTTCGTGACTAAAAACATGAAGTAGCGAGGCTTTTGGGAGGGGCATAACTTTGTTAAAGCCATCCTTAGGCAACCGACATGTATGAAGCTAGGTACTGGGGGTTTTATCAGCCTATACAATCCTACATGTGCAAGCAGGGTTCATACATGTCATTTGCCTAGGGATATCCAACAAATCTGTTGCAGTACCCAGACAGGACAGCATTCGCCCTTACAGGGCTCATGCTGTCCTGTCTGGGTACTGCAACATATGTAGGTACAAGTGTGCATGCATTGTACGATTTTCAGAAAATATGGCACCACTAATGCAATTCTCAAAAGGCAGTACATTGATGGGGTTGTGGTCCTTGGTGAGTGGGATGATGGTCCGTTTTCCGTCGGTGGAGCTCCGACACAGGACGGCCTTTGCTGTCTCCGAGATTGGCAGAGTACAGAGTATCTCCAACACCAGTAGAGCTGCCACTGTTGACCTGCAGTCAGAGACAGAAAAATGGATGTATCGTGTCTTTCGCAATATCACATTTTAATTGACAAGTGAAGCGAGCCCACAGTCATACCAGATTTTTCCGCATTTATAATACTGTACAGTGGGACCTCTGATAAGGGACCCTCTGAGATAGGGACGACCTCTCCACAAAAGACACTTGTCCCTTCTTTGTAGGTCCCATTGTATTTAGAATGTCGTGTCTGTACCATAATGCTCTATGTAATTCAAACTCATGTTAGCTCGTTAATGATTCAGGGACACATGGGATTGGGACAAACACTGTAACTACTATATGTCATATATACCCATCTTTCCAGGTGGGTGAGGCATCAGCTGCTTTCTTCAGAAATTCTTCGTCAGTCCTTTTGAAAGATTCCAACAGACATTTCTTCACCTCTCTGTCAAGATTCTGCACACTACCTGCACGTGTGTGTACGTACATTACACACTGAATTGAGGCCTTGAAAAACAACGGAACTTGAGAAAAAGGTGCATGCAACTTCAAATGTATGGCTATGATGCTGCCACACACACTGGAACCACTATATTATACCCATCTTTACTGGTGGGTGAGGCACCAGCTGCTTGCATAGAATTTCTGTTGCAGTGCAATATGTTGCAGAGACCCATCATAGCCATACATTTGAAGCTCCATGCAGTAGTAGATAGGTGACACTGAGGCTTGGTTCACATAGACCCATCATAGCCATACATTTGAAGCTCCATGCAGTAGTAGATAGGTGACACTGAGGCTTGGTTCACAGAGACCCATCATAGCCATACATTTGAAGTTCCATGCAGTAGTAGATAGGTGACACTGAGGCTTGGTTCACAATACGACACCTGTTGCACCGTGCGACGTATATTGTGAACCCAGACAGAGAGAGAAGGACGAGAAAGAGGAGACCTTTAGGAATGTGTGTCTTTATGTTGAGGTGAAGGTGTTCCGCGGTGTAAGTGGAGGCTCTGCTGCCAGCGTGTCCATCAAACACCCCGTAATAGGCAACCCTGGATCTGGGAGTGATTCAAACAAAAAATACGCCTTACAGCTGTCATTTTGTAGGTCTCATGCAGATTATCTGCAGAAACACTGGCTGCTAGACTGCCACGTAAGTACGTAAGATAGCATATGCACCAACTAGAAACGTGAAACATCACTGAACTACTGTTTTACATATGTCCAGGGTGTGTAGTTGACTCGTTTGCCTTGCCTTGCCTTTCTACCTCGTTACCAAGTTGTTGAGACATGCTTTGTGTTGTGTGTTTGTAACATGTGTGCAGACACTAGAAAAGTCGTTGGACTCACTGAACATTATTATACGTTTTGTTGTGTGTGTGTTGTGCTTGTGGCCCCCACAACTCACTGACAGAAAGGCTGGGTACTCCATTCCCCTTGAAACACACGCGCTTTTCTTTCTTCACTCCTCAAACTCGCTAACGGTACCACGCATGGAGATGAAACTTGGTACGCATGCCTACCAGCTGAGCTGCCTTGGTAGCTCAGTTGGTAGAGACTGCTTTGCTTTTTCTACTTTGAAATTTCTCCTGCTGAACACGTGTGCTGGTGTTTCTTCTCACATGTTGTTGGGAAGGGAGGTGAAGTGAGGAGTAAAATCATCGATGATGGTGTGGGCATCCTGCATGTCTTCCCTCTCCCCTCTCCTCTCTCCTATGTACCCCTTCAACCTATACCCACCTGTGTATTGTACACATGAAATTCTTGTTCCTGAAATGTGGGAAATTTCGTGGAGAGGATAGGTGGAACCCCTATCTAGGACACCTCTCTAATAGAACATCATTTCTTTCTCCAAAATAACACTCTATTCATGATCATTGGAACATTTCTAATCCAGACACAAATGGGACAGAGGGAAGTGTCCACATTAGTGAGATGTCCTTATTTCAGGAGTTGAAATGAAAAGCCAAGAGAGGTGTCCTCATTTCAGGGGTGTCCTTGGAGAGAGGTTCCACTGTATATACCTGAGAATTTCTTCACTTTTGGGGCTGGACCGTTGGAGTCGAGGGTATCACGTGAGCTCCTCTTTTGTCCTACAGCTCCGGCAGCAACAACGGCGCTCTCCTCCGGCGGCGGGAGATCCGACGTGGCGGCTGGTAGATGGAAACCTAAGCTAGCACAGGGACTTTGCAGATTGACCTATACCTTCGTCTGTCTTCTTTTTCTTCCCTTGAATTTCTGAAGGCGGTGGTAGATCGCCAAAAAGATCCATATTCCAACGCCAGATTAGTCTGGGAACAAGGCTATTGCACGGCAGCAGCGCGTGTGTATAATTCTATTTAGCGCACAGCACGCGGTCGTGCGCATGAGCTCCGCCTTCTTGCATGCGCGTAAACATGCTGCAAAAACAGGATGCATGTAAAATTGTCCTATACTTAGAGCAGAGTATCTGTGTATAAGAGGCATCATTGCTGTTGTTCAAACTCATTCAGTTCGTCAGGAGTCAAGTATAGGGGATTTCCGGCAGCATCTGTGGTAAAAATGTTTTCAACCAGTGGGAAAAAATATAGCGGCCATTACTCACCTTCATCTTTGACTAGAGGGTTTGAGAGAGTGAAGGCTCCACTTTTAGCCAGCGTCTCCTCGTCTGCAATATATTGTCTCTGCTTTATCCTAGAACAAAGTAGATCACAGCTGTATGGGACATTGATTAAACGTTTAATGAAGACAGTTTTATGCAGAGGCTGAGAACTTGCAGGGTGTGTTGTATGTAGCTGTGTTTCAGAGAAATAAATCCAAAAAAATAGTCATCCACATACGACGAGTAAAACTAGCAGGTATAAAGTTGCATACAAAGGCTCTAATGGACTAAACATGGACCAGTGGTAAAGTCTACTGATCAATGGTAAAGTAGTGAGGTGAATCTCACTTTATCCTGCAGACAAGACAGGAGACAATGCACAGTGCAACCGAGAGGATGAGGACGAGAAAGGCTGCTCCTGCACCCTCAACAATGTATATCTCAGTTGATGATAGGACAGCCGAGGCTGTGGAGGGAGAACACACACTAATACATTCACAGTATTTAAGACTCTAGCTACACAAAAATTGAAAATAGACTGCAAGTCTCTCTTGTGTGCCAGTTACGAAAATGTGGTAAGGCTGCCCTATGATAGCAAAAGGTAAGTGTATCAAACTAAGTGATATATAGGCTTTTGTTGTTCTTATATACGTAGATAGGGCCCGCCTTCTCTTTCGTTAATTCGTTAATAGTCAGCAATGTGTTTTGCTGCAGTGGGTAATGGAAAAATGAAGGGGAGTGAGAATAATGTCCCAGTGGACCAATCTAAAGTCAACTCTTGTGTCACCCTGACACCTCAATAAAAGGGACAAGGAAGAGAGTATGTATGCACCACTGCAGGTTGGTGGAGAGGTCCAGTTCCCATTGACGTCGCATGTTATGACTGCTGTTCCATCTAGCTCATGGCCGGAGTCACAGGCATAGTCAACAGTGGTTCCCACTGGAGCTGGTTCCCCTGCTGTCCAGGTCCGGGCACCATTGGGGATGGTTGGTGGGTCTGAACACACTGTGACTTGGGTAGTGTGTGTGAGGGAGGAGGGGGGGATGATAATGCAAAAGAATTCTGTGACTTGTGCTGTGTGTGTGTGAGTGAAGGGGGGATGAATGATGTCAAAGCAAAAGAATGCTATTCCCCTTCTTGTGCCAGTAGCTTTCAATAATTGTTTACTTGATCAGCACGAGTGGGCATTTTGCTTTGAGCTACAGCAACTATACAGGCTTTGGAATCAACTTGTTTGGGTGGCCATTCTTTCATCACAACTTGAGACACTCTCAGTAGCTATAATTATACCGTTCTAAACGTACGTATGGGAGTGCAGACTATTGTGTCTGGCCACCATGTACTGTTCCACCAGCAGACACTGTATGTCGCTCCCCCAGTGAGCTGATAGCCTGGATCACAGCTATACTCGGCGGTGGAGAAAAGCCCAGTGTCGTTGAATGAAACCGATCCATATGTTACAGCATACGGACTTCCACAGTCTACCTCTGACGTGGAAAAAGGAATGACGAAGCTTAGCTAAAGTTTTATTGCAGGGTTGAGAGGTAAAGTGGTCTAACCCACAAACTACTATTTAGACACATAAAACTGCCATCACAATGTGGATCGAGACATACCAAACCTAGCTTGTGGGAGGCTGCCGTAAAGAAAAGAGGCATTGCTTAGTGCATTAGTGTATTTGTGTGTACATGCAGAGAGTCGACCAAAGTGGGTTCAATTTCACTATCATTAGAAGAGGACATTTTAGGCAGTAATATTAACTTTACCCCTCCACCCTTCGTTTCAAAGACTCACTAGAACATCTGAAATCCTCCGGGTTTTCGCTCCAACGACCGTCACCTGTCGACGTTGTTGTGCTGTTGCTATTCCCACTACCGCTTCCACCACCATCTGGAGCATTGCAAGTCATGTTCCTTTGCGTTCCGAGGGACGTGTTAGACGAGCCAAAGAGACGGTAACCCTGGGCGCACACGATGGTGACGGTGTCATTTTCCCGCCAACTCGGCTGCTGATAGACGGGCACCTCGGCTCCGTTGAAAACTAGAGCTCCGTAGGACGGAGAATTCAACTGACTGCAACTAAAGTCCCGATCTCCACCTGCAGAGAAACAAGGAAGCTTTGCTCAGCAAGGGGAGAGAGAGCGAGCAGGGAAAAAGGGGTGGATCTCGTGATGGTGCAAAATGGCAGGCCGGCCCTCTACAGTTTATTCCAACTTACTGGAACTGAGGGAACAGTCAGCGGTCCATAAAACGAGTCCTATATAGAGCGCAGAGACGTGGAGTGGCACCGTTTCTGCCATGGACGGAAAATCGATATCGCAAAACTTTTTGAGCCCAGCCCCTTTCAGCGCAATGCGCATGCGCACGCTACGCGGCACGTATATACTCACATGCGCATGCGTCCGTATCATAAATTATTAGGCGAAAAATAGACATATCTTCGGGCTATCATACAAGATTATGGAATGAGTCACAAGTTCACAGTAGCATATATGTACATATAGCTTCATAAAAAATTTCGGCGACAGTTGTTTTGCGAGTGTGTGAGGATGTAGCACAGGCTTAGACCTGAGTTGACATTCTTGATGTGGCTTTCTTCCGAGCTCCCTGGTTCACGGGATGTCTCCTGTAGGCCATGGGGCTCCCTCCTGCTGTCTGCTGTGGTTGCTGCGGCGGTGGCGAGTTGTTGGTGGGCACTATTTGGATTCGTCGTCCTGGAGACGTAGTCGTCTTGACCGCCACACCTGCCTGAGCTGGCATGTACGAACTGACCTGTGGACGTGTGAATGATTACACAGAGTACTAAAGGGGTTAACGGAGATAATACAGTGCTTACGGGGTTAAATGGGTGTCCTTGAGGAGGCGGGTTTCCAGGTGTATCACTTTCAAAACTGGCTGGCACTGCAGTGTATAACAGTGTCATAATATTACGCATCAATGTATCAAACAATACCATATATAGCAAGCAAGAGGGAGCCTAGGATATGTAATCTGGATGCCATTTAACCAGTTTTGCAAGGGCATGTTGTCATGCTAGAGCTTACTGTGCTAGTGCTGAATCGTATCCAGGCTCTCCCTATGTATTGCAAGCCTTATAGAGCAACGCTATATACAAGAAAGGTGGAAAAACTGACGAGATTGAGAGGGGTCTGGGTCACGGCGTGGAGACTGATGTCTGTCTGGACTCCTGCTGGTGAGGTGACCACCGCCCACTGGCTGCCGGAGTGATTGTGTGACAGGCGGCCCTTCTCTAGTCCCCCCACTCCTCGCCACCTCTCTCCCTCCCTCTCTTATTACCCCTCTTTCTTCCTCTCTAAAATCTCCTCCTCTTCCTCCATGCTGCTGCGGCTGCTCTGCCTGTCGCATCTCTACTTCCCTCATGTCCTCTCTTCCTTCTCCCCTCCCTCCCTCTCTCCCTCCTCCCCGGCGTTGTTGTTGCTGCTGAGCTCGCCTCAACTCGACCTCTCTTCTCCTCTTCCTCTGTGCAGCTATCTCTTCCAGCTGCAGCTTCTTTGCCAGTTGCTGTGATGAAAAGACAGAAAATCCTTATAAGGGAAAACCTCTCTACAAGGGACAAAATCGCCGGCCTCATATATATACAGTGTCCCTTGTTCGGAGGTTCTACGTATTACAAATGTTAACCGTACCAAGTCATTTTCCGTGCCATCCTGATAGTCAACAAGCCTTCCCCCGTCTCCAGAAGAAGACAGGACTTGTTGTTTCCTCGCTTCGGCCTCTCTGCGTCGTCTCTTTTCTCTCTCCAACTCCTGCCTCTGGAGCTCCTTGGCATATCTCTATTACGCCAATGTCGAATAGAAAACATCACTATAACAAAGGTTTTACGACAAGCAACTTTCATGAATATCATGGTGTCATTAAATAACTAATACTTCAGTTCTACCACACAACACACGTGCCTGGCAACTATTTTAGAGAGACTGTATTACCAATGTTGACTACAAAATCTCATAAAAAAAAAATTTTGAAATAAAATATGAATTTCACGGTTTTATTAAATCGCGAATACTTCATTTCTAGCGCACCATGCATGCACCTGGCAACTGTACTTGAGAAACTGTATATACTGACAGAAGAAAAAAGGAAAACGTTCACGTCGAATACTATTTGCCAGAGTGTTGCGTGCTCAATTACAGCTGTGTTTGTCACGATGTGAGAAAAAACAAGGAAACTGAAAGTGTTACACGCAACGCAACACTTACGACGTCTTCCTGTTCTCTTTTTATTCTCTGCAAGAACAAAACACGGCTGTTGACGTGTTGTGGACTTTACCTTTGTGCCTTAGTTTGATCCCTGCTGGCCTTGCCTACTTTGTATATATATATACCATTTTTGAGTCTCCTATACTTCACAATCCCAGTATATACGCTGCCATCTCCAACTTTCTTCAGTACTTCCACTCCACTCACCATTTCTCAAAGTTTACACACCTTCTCAATTTGTTCCATACTCCCATACCCATAATTCAGTGTCTTCATGCACCAGTTCTCAAAATTACATTCACCCATAATTCCATACTCACATACTTCAGTACGTATCTACTCTCATTCTTCCATACTGACATACATACTGACATATGTAGGTATATACCTCGTCTTCCTCGCCCAACTCTCGTCCCTGGCTCTCCTGTCTCTGCAGCTTCCTGGCTATCTCCTGATGAAAACAACAAACAAACAACCACCAGTAAACAAACAACAAACAACCAGCAGTAAACAACAACAAACAACAGCAGGAGTATATACTTACAATGTCCTCTCGTTCTCGGCGTTGTTTCTACATAAGAGGAAAAAATCACATAAAGCAGACGAAGTCACCACTCTATAATATTACACAACATGAGAGTTTCGCAGTTTGAAGACAATCGCAGTAAAAAAACTTGTGTGAATGGAAATTCACAGGAGTTTACGACCTTTCACTATAAGTTACTCCTCTCTAAGTATATACACCCCTGAAATGAGGACACGTCTCTAAGGACATCCTTGAAATGAGGACTCGTCTCTAAGGACATCCTTGAAATGAGGACACCTTTGTTACATTTCTTGCTCCGAAATAAGGACACCTTACTACTATAGACGCTTCCTTCATTTTGTGTCTGGATTATAGGGGTTCCACTGTATATACCGTACCTCGAGAAGTAGCCTCTTCTTCTCCTTCTCCTCCCACTCCCTCGCCATTCGTTCGTCCTCGGCCTCCTGCAGAGCCACTCTCTCCGTCTCGTCCATTACCCTTTCTCCCTCATCCTCTTCTTCTTCCTCTTCATCGCCTTCAGCCACAGGGAACTCATACCCACCAGCCACACTGGGGTAGGGGGGAGGCGGAGAGGGGGATCCCGAACGCCTGTGAGAAGTGAAAGATACTACAAGACAAGAATTTAACGTAACCTATTTTCTACAGTCAGGCAAAATGATGCACTGCACACTCCAGCTATTATAGAGGGATTCAGGGTGGTTGGTTGACCTGTCCTCTCCACTTGCCTGCTAAAACAGAAACGTTTAGGCCACCCTATTTTCTACTATCACACTGCACACTCCAGCGATTATAGAGGGATTCAGGATGGTTGGTTGGCCTGTCCTCTTCTCCACTTGCCTGCTAAAAGTACGAAAAGTTTAGGCCACCCTATTTTCTACTATCACACTGCACACTCCAGCTATAGTGAGGCTATTCAGGATGGTTGGTTGACCTGTCATTCTCTCCACTTGCTTGCTAAAAGTACGAAAAGTTTAGGCCACCCTATTTTCTACTATCACACTGCACACTCCAGCTATAGTGAGGCTATTCAGGATGGTTGGTTGACCTGTCATTCTCTCCACTTGCTTGCTAAAAGTACGAAAAGTTTAGGCCACCCTATTTTCTACTATCACACTGCACACTCCAGCTATAGTGAGGCTATTCAGGATGGTTGGTTGGTTTATCCTTCCCCCCAACTTGCCGGCTAAAAGTACGAAAGGTTTAGGCCACCCTATTTGTGCATAATCATGTGTACTTCTGGAGAGCTGGCCTAAACTTTCGTACTTTTAGCAAGCAAGTGGAGGGAAGGACAGGCCAACCAACCATCCTGAATAACAATAGCCGAAGAATGCAGAACGAAAGCATCCTTACTACAGTATCAATGACAGTGTATGCAAATGTGTGCGGGATTCACACGTCATTCTAGGAGCAAACCTGTCCCTCTCGGCTATCCGCTGAGCCTCTCTCTGTGACAGCTCTTCCTCTCTCCTCTTCTTCTCCCCAATCAGTCTTGCCTCTCGCTCGCTGGCCTGTCTCGCCAGTCGGGCATCTCCCCTCTCCTGCTCTCGATTCTTCTCCAAACTAAGACAAGAATGAAAACAACATGCCCAAATAACCCCATACGGTTCAGTGCATATTCTCTGGAACCTTCGATAAGGGACGACCTCTCTTTAAACTCAATGCTAATACTTTAGTGTATTATTTGACCTCTGAGATAGGGACGACCTCTCTACCAAGGGACAAAATCGTTGGCCCCATAGTGTCCCTTCTTTGGAGGTTCCGCTGTACTGGTGAATGACAGTAGTGCAAAATTGGGACAAACTAGAAAACTTGTACGTATATTAAAACAACACTTTGGGCAAAGCGTATGACCCACTGAGTTAGACAGTATTTCTCTACGTTGAGCTCAACGCACCGTTTTCTCTCCTTTTCAGCAAGTTCCCGAGCCACCATCTCATCTTGCATTCTCAGAGCTTCTTTTATCTCCTCCTCCTATGTACAGTATTATATACGGCAATGGGTTGGTCGTCACGTCAACCACACACATATAATGCACCATACAATGTTGGAACGTTTGGGTCATCATTACATCACTGTTTTCCTCACAAAGGCACATGTTTTTCGTATTCTATTGTCTAGTCTAATCCTAGCTCCGCCCACTTCGGTTATTCAATTGTCTATGATTTGTATGGAAAAGAACCAAAGTTTGGCCGTAATTCATCATTGCTCAAAATTGCCACATTTTATATCTGCCAAAATATTTGGTGGCTAAAAGTAATCGACTAACTTCTCTCAATTTTTGAGCCACTTCTTCTGCATGTCTTTGATCCTCCAACTCTCTGAGAACATGAGAAAAATGACAGAGTTCAATTTCAGGGTAATACATATACGTATAAGTTCCATACTACATCGGCTTGGTAGTGTTGCTAAATTGTGCATGTGTCAATTACGTGGTATAAGGGCAAAGGCACAACAAACAAGTCAACTACACCCAGGACAGCTCCTTTTTTGTCCCAAGGAAAAAAGAAGAGCTGCCCCAGAATGCACGTTTAAAGGGAATGTGTGTGTGTGTAGAACTAAATGTTGTACACTTGCCTCTGTCGCAGCTCCTCCCTCCGCCTCACTTCTTGCTGTCTGAAATCGAGAATTTCTTCTTTCTGGAGGTCCTTGGCCATGGACACGTCGTTTCTGGCCATCTGACGCTCTTGTACGTTCATACTGAAATGACCCTCGACTGTGTATATGACGAGAGAGATAGGGAAGAAAGAGAGAATGTGTCAGTAGTACATAAGGACTAAATTTAGAAATGTTACTAAAGATAGAACTGACCCAGTGCAAGAATGCAATTACGTTTCCGTTTTTAGTATAGAAACAATTTCTAAATTTAGCCCGGATATACTGCCGCATTCCGTTTAAGAGAAAGAAGATAGAGTAGGGGGAGAGGCAGGGAGGGAGAGGAAAAGACAGGGAAGAAAGAAAAGGAGGGGGTGAGGGGGAAAACAGAAAGAGAGAAGAGAGATAAAAGATACATCGCTAAGCAGGAACAAACACAACGGGCATATACACAGGTGTTTACGAAATCTCACGCGGCGACGACCAAATACAGTTTTGATTGCAAACTCCCTTGGGGCAAAGTCCAGCTATTCCTATCGGGACTGCATCCATAGACACGCACCTCGCAAAAAAGGCAAGTGAATACTTATAAGTTCTCTGTACGTGCACATGAAGTACAGTGGAACCCCTTTCTTCTGTCCCATTGGTGTCTGGATTAGAGGGGTTCCACTGTATAATGCTCAGGACACCTCACTAATATAGACACTTTCTTCTGTCCAATTGGTGTCCGGATTAGAGAGGTTCCACAGAACACATTACTCCTGAGTACGCCAGCAACATGCCAACACCACACACACATGTACACTAACGCACTAAGACCCCACTTGAAAGGGCTCCATCGTGATATAATGCGGGCTCCATGTTTCACTAAGGGCCTCTTTGAAAAGAAATTTGTTCGCTAACAATTTTGCACCACAAGCAAAGTTGTACACGTGAGGGCTCGTTTCAAAGGACTACTATATGTATATACACACGTTTCAAAGGGCTACTATTATATGAGTGAAAGAGTGTTTCTGCACAACCAACAAATAGCAAGCCAACAACAGACTCACATGTACCACAGCTCTTGTCAAAGAGGTCTATTGCAGCACACAATGATCTTCAAAACCCATGTTCTAAAGTGCTACAACAATTTGGCACCACCTTGCAAAAGCTCATATCCACATAATGCAAAGTGTTTCTTTTCAAATGGCACACTTGGTATACAGCCTAAAGCCACAAGTAAATACAACAGATATCGCACAACCACAACATGGCAACAACCAAATACAGTACTCTGAGCCTATTAAATTAACATTCTGCATAATAATATGTGTCGTGGGTTGCCATGCGTTAATATGGTACATCCACCACCACAACATCATGCAAACACCTTATTACACTGGTACACATAGTAACATACATAGTACGTGGGTTGGTTATCGGGAAAGGTGTGGGTTACACCTGTTACCAATTTCGGTAGCCAGTGGTGGCTACATCTTACTGTGTACCAGCCATAACATCAGTGCCAAACACTCCCTCTGGCGGAGTATATACTGCCACTAGTACGATATTATGCTCAAAACACACACACACACACACACCCACATAGTTTAGGTGTGCTCCGTTAACTCCAAGGTTAGTTATAGTAAAAGGTTGGATCCAAGTTTATGTGTATGTGTAGTGGTGTTACCACAGTGTCCATATTTCATGGCTTGCTGGCCAACACATCAGATGTGTAACTTTAGCTGGACGATAAATGATGTATTGGTAACTGTATACGCAGTGCGCCAATGGGACACATGAATTGAGGTGTCTTATTTCAGGGGTTGAATTGCATGCAAGAAACTATTCTTGGAGAAAGAAAAGGCTTCCTTATTACAGAGGTGTCCTTAGAGAAGAGTTCCACTATAATATGTAAATTTCCACTGACTTTTATTTAAGATATACTGTACCTGCATGCTACATTGGCAACTATAGTAACACCAGAATGCTACGTGGTAACTCTACCTGCACCATAAACCATCTGTAGCCACCAAGAAACAATAGTTCAATCCCTCCTTTTCTTTATCTACGGCGTTTTTCACACGCCCAACTTACATTCTTCATCTTGGAGTCTGCGGGCCAGGGCACTGTCCTCTCTTACTTGAAACTCCCCTTTCACTGAGACGGAGAGAGAGGGAGGGAGGGAGGGAGGGAGAGAGGGAGAGAGGGAGGGAGAGGGAGAGAGGGAGGGAAAAGAGGGAGGGGGGAATTCGTGAGAAAAGGGAAAAGACAGAGGGGGAGAGAAAGAGGTAACTGTGGTGCTGAAGAATGTGGCCGTTCTGTCTAACCACAACAGGTTAGCTTGTACAACGCCTTGTTTTCTTGTGCGAGTGCTTGTAGCTAGCTCATCACCGCACGGGCTCGATCCAAGAAATAGTGTTTGTCACGCTCCTTATCGAATCAGTCTTCTTAAATTGGACAAAGGGTCTGTAAAGAGTACATCCTTGGTGGGTCACGAGGGGAAATTGAAACACCGACATGTAGTTTTGTAGTACAACTTAATTAATTAGGGTCTGTACATGACATGTCCAAACACGCTCCTTTTCAAAGATCTGTAACTAATTTGTTGCCATGACCACCATTCATTGGAGCCACGCCCATTTTACAGATAAATCGGGTTGCTAAGTGATGGCAAACAAAGTCTACGAAGGCTGGAGAATCTACAAGCCTACAAAATTCCAAATTGACTAGTTCAGTCGTTACATCACACGTTGCGTGGTGTATATCTTGACCACAATTTTGTACTCGCACACACGGTGTCCTTGAAACCACACACATCCATAGAGCCACCATAGTACTACACTCACATGGTGAGACCACCATACACATCACTTCTGTGACATGCAATACTTTGGCAAATTGACAAATTGCATCACTAAGCAAGCATCTACATAGCAGTAGGTCACAGGGCTTGAAGGCGCGCTGTAACTTACACGCGCACACGTCTGCAAACGGGTTATAAAGGTTCACACTTGACCCACAGCGCGTTTAGCTAGTAATTATCCGATCAATTATCTGCAATTAGGGTGTAATCTATAGGCTACACAAAACTGCCGAGCCCTGCTAGCAACCAGCCTATTACCGCTAAAACACGTGCAAAAACACCGCAACCTTGTCCCTTATACTACTCTACTCACTCGTAGAGTGACAATAAAAACACAGCGGAGAACCAGGTCGATCGCTTAGCTACACAAGCTAGTAGCTACGGCAAACCAACGACGCAGGCGAAACAACTCGCTCACCTTTCGAGACCCCCGGTAGCTTTTCCTCCACCAGCGCCATCGTTTTCCGGCTAGACCGTTCAAGCTTCTCTGATCTCTTCTCGATACGCGATGAACCCAATTTGCGCTCTCCAAACTGTTTACAAACTCATTTCCTACTCCAGAAATATCGAACTCGGGGTTTCGTTTAATTAGATCGCGATTCAATTTCCACCACCGACGCGCACGTACTACTGAACTCTTTCAGACGAGGCTCTTTGGTAGCTTTGCTGGCGATATATCTCTCTATTTTTGCCGAAAATTCGCAGCTTCGGAAAGCGAAATGGCTGACACAATGAACTTTGGACCCGAGTGGTGAGACACAAACGGAGAGAAACGGGAGTGACTTGCGTGGGGCTCTAATAGATGCACACCATAACCTAACGGGGAGGGGGTGGATGTGTAGGTTTAGCATATAGCTTCTACTTAGAGAAGAAAAACTTCCCAGACAATTTGTCTGTTTACACTACTTTGTTGTCTTCTCTCTCCACAGGCTCCGTACTCTCTCCAGTGGAGGAGGCAATACTAAATCTCCCTCGGGGGCCAAAACTGGGGGAACCGCTGAGCCCGGGGGGACCCACCATCACTCCCCCCTCAAGCACTCTCAGTCCTACAACTCTTTCGTTTCTCCTCCAAAACAGCTTCCCACACCAACTGCCCCATCGGGGAAGAAGTTTCCGCTAGCGACGCATCGCTACGGGAAAGAGGAGCTCCTGCTATTATTTTCGGAGGACACGGGCAGGCCTGACGACGTTCCAAATCTGTCTCCACTCACAAACTACGACTGGCGATGCCACTTAGTTTCATGCCTCTGACTGAGGAAGAACAGGTTGGGCATGTGTGTTCCCTTGTATCTCACCACTCGGGGGGTGTGGTTGTGTGATTGTGTCTACAGTGGAGAGGACGCCCAAATGAGGACACTTCGCTAATATTGGCGCCTTTTCTTTCCTTCCCAAATACAACAGTTCTTGCATACAATTTAACCCCTGAAATGAGCACGCTTCTGTTATAAGGACCTTTTTGTTTCCCCAAGAACATTTCTTGCATGCAATTTAACCACTGAAATAAGGACACCTCGCTATAATGGACACTTTCTTCTCTTCCAGATTAGAGAGGTTCAAACGCATAAAATAAGAGGAATTTTTTGTTTGGTGAATAATTTTTTGTGTTACGTCTAAAAAACATAGTATTGTGTCTGTTCTCAATTTTCCTCTCTGACCAGGTTGCACTATCAGGTGGAATGAACAGTGAGACTGTGTATGGAGGAGGGAGGGGAAGAGGGGGTTACTATAGAGGCAGGGGAAGAGGTTAGTAACCATTTGCCAACTCCAACATGTACTACAGTATGTAAATTGATCAGCACATGGGTATGTTAAGAGAGAGAGAGGAGGGCTAAGAAAGAGAACGGTGGCTTATAATACTTCTTAGAAAAGAAACTGCTGGCATACTCGAGGACTGGCTAAGTCGTGGTGCACAGTGGTATATATGTAGCTGTATCACATATAGTGGTACATGTAGCTGTTTTTTTGCAAGCTTCCACACTCCCCCCTTGGGAAAATTTGTGTTAAGCAAAGTGTGTCATTATAATCTACTGAAGTTGCTAAAATGTAGGGTGTTAAGAGATTTGGTTCCCCAAGGAAGCAACAGTATGTACTTGTACATACTATACTTTTTACACCCAGTTTATTTATATTCGGCCCCAAAGATTTAATGCAATTTCGTAAAAATTTATCTCTCTCTCTCCCTCTCCTTTTAGGTAGGGGGAGAGGTGAGTATCATCGAAGCTCTAGTTACAGTGGAGATGATTATGGAGGAGGAGGAGGAGGAGGAGGAGTGGGAAGTGGGGTTGTAGGAGAAGGAGGGAGAGGGGGAGGGTATTACTACCGAGGAGGAGGGAGAGGGGGAGGAGGGGTAGCAGGAGGAGGAGGAGAAATCGACGTCTGGAATCCAGAAGGACGAGGTACATATACAATACATACCCAGTTGACAAACGAAAGCAGACTTGCAGTAAAGCCTTGATACATAACTTTTTAAAGTCTGATGTACATAGTATTAGTATGATATTACATAATGTATGAGGACACCTTATATACACATTTACAATACGAACCCAAGGTCGTGGAGGAGCGTCACGTGCTCTGAGAGACGGTAATTGGAGAAGTTCTACGACACCCGACGATGAGCCCGCCCCCGGCTGGGGTAACCAACGGCAACAGCAGCCACTGCCCAGTCCCGGTGCGTCCTGAATCTATATTGTCCAGTCATGACGACACATGTAGATACTGGGGCATGTCCTGATTACAAGGTGTCCTCAATCTTTCAATAGTAAAGCCCCATTCTGAAAAGGTCCTGTCCTGGTTGGTGTAGCAGTTGGTGCAGCATATGTGTGTGTACTTATGGTTGTTACCTACAATGTAAGAGGTACATATGGGCATTATAACAGAATAAAGTGCCCGGCTTTCATGAGCAAAATTTTTAAAATGTCATCATAATTTTGTATGGGTAAGACCAATGCCTTCAAAATTTTCTGTGGGTAAAACAGCAATGTGGGTAAAATTTTGATGGGATTGTCTAATTGTTTCTTGTTTCCACCTGAAGCTACTGGTGTGCCACCTCGCAATGCCTGGGGTAAGAAGGATCCCGCGGCAACACCGACTGGTCAAACTGGTCAGACGGGTTCTGGGAGGTGGGGCCACCCGGCCAGTCTGCCTGAGTGGGCCAGAGACGACATGATGACCACCACCAGTGTCGGGACATTTGACTCCACGGGGACCTTCACCTCCAGTGGGGAAAAGGTTAAAATTAGCATCTTCAATACTCCAGAAATCTGAAGTTGATGTGTGTGACTCTAATTAATGCACCCTTGCATGTGATAGCTACAAGTAACTCGTGCCCATGGCACTGTTTTCATGCGCACACAGATTGATAGATTGAAATTGGCACGGCGAATAGAAGCCATTAATGGGGCCCTTTACGCCAGAACTTTACAACGCAAAAACCCTTGGCTTATAAATTATATGCACGTGGATATTCCATGCACTTGCTGCCTCGGGGATGGTGGTAAATGGTCCTAATGTATTACAGTCTAAGAGGATTATGGTACAACTATTGCGTATGCATGTATATATTGTACATATCTACTGTATTATACAACTGTTGCGTATGTATGTATGTATATGTTGTACATATGTACTGTATTACAGTCTAGGGCAGCAGTAGTGGATGACAGCAAACCTGCTTCCTCCCAGTCGACTAACAAACAGTCTGTGGAAGGTGAGACCTCAGTGGTGGATAACCAGTCAACTCGGCAACAGAAACAGCTGAAAACCACCGCTCAAAATGAGGTGAGCGTACAATGTTAAGTTTTTTTTATTTATTATTATAGCACTCAAGTTATGGGCTAGAATTAAGATGTGTGGGTGAACAATGTCACCTTGATACATACATGTGTATGCGGTATGCTCTGCTGATGAGGGCCAACAAGCCCGATACAGCTGTCCAGAGCTCCTGCATCTTTTTTCTCTTGGCATCACCTTCATGTACATACGTAGCTGGATGATCGTTTCTTACTCACAGAGCCATGCCACGACTAACAGAGAAGGTCTGGTGCTGAAAATGAGCGATGAACATCTCGTCGCATCCCCACACCCCTCCCCCCTCACAGACTCCTCCTCCCACCGTCCCCATCCTCACAAGTCACACTCTCTCGGCAGCCATCCCGTCGCTGCGAGTGTGTTTCCACTTGCAACTCACCCCCTCCCCCTCTCCTCCTCCTCTGCCATGTCGTCTAGACACGTCGTTCGCCCTTTGACTCTCTCTGCTGTTTCTCTTCCTCCTCCGGTGACCTCTGCGACCCCTGCCGAAACTCCGCCCTCTGTTATCGGGCCGACCGCCCACCTGGCCAGCGGAGACGTGGTGATGTCACGTGACAATCACGTGATCTCCCACGGAGTGTCACATGACAGGGGAAAGGAGCGACTGTTTTCTCCTCATTTGGTCGAGGACGACCAAATGAGGAGAATCGAAAAGGTTTGGATTCTTTCATATTCACAATCTGAGTCGGTATGTTTACTCTAAATATATGCACTTATATACATTATTCATACGTATCCAAATGTATTCAGATACTCAATGGTACAGGGTGCATTGCAAGAAAGTAATTTTGGAGTTCGGTCAACAGTCTTCACAATATTATGTTGCATTGCCCCATCGCGCCGTCCCGTGGTGTTTTTTTGCCTCATATTGTGAACTGTTTTGTAACCTGAACATCAAAACAATTTTGTAAATCTTTGTGGTTTTCAGGCAACTGAAGCTCTGCTGTATACTGAAGAAGAAATGACGCCATCCCCTGGACCAATTCCCCAGCCTCCTCCCCCCACCACTTCCTCTGTCCTCACTCCTTCCTCTGCCCATGCCACGCCCTCTCCTGCTGCCCCACCCCAGAAACCCACCCCACCCTCCTCCTCCTCTTCCCTCCCTGGCCCCACCTCCACCTCGGTCGGCCCCGAAGAGCTCAACAAGTGGTTCTACAAAGATCCCCAGGGCGAAACACAAGGTTCGTCTGTGTTTTTCAAAACGGCTAATACACAGTTTTGGCGATCCTCAATCACACGTATGTAAAATATTCGTAAGTTACACTTCTATCCCAAGAATTAAGTACAGTAGTACCTGTAGGAACACATTTGCAAACAGTGCAGATTGTGTTTTCAGTTCTTCTCATGTAAAGGGTTTCGTCTGTATGTATGTGTCTACATGTATATACAGCTTGTTGCATGGACTCAGTTGCATGCGATTTTCCTGCATGCAACAAATGTTAGTATTTTCCTTATCCCTCCCTCCTCCCATGTTTCTTCTCCTCCCTCCCTCCCTCCCACCTGCTATCAGGACCATTCCCAGCTACTGACATGCGAGAGTGGTTCAACGCCGGCTACTTTACCATGGAACTGATGATCAAGAGATCCTGCGACGCTCTGATGCTTCCTCTAGGTCCGTACAAACCTCAAAACCCAGGCCTCCCTGTTATGTGGAATAGTTGTGTGCACTACTGCATGTGATTAACTGGGTAGTATGCATATACCTGCACAATTCACAGTATGTGTGGGAAACCCTGGGTTCTGAGGCTAATAATCCTTTACCCCCCCGAATCTGAAACAAGTGCTGTATATATAATACAGGTCAGATGATCAGGATCTGGGGACGGATTCCGTTCCAACCAACAAGCCATGCCCCGCCCCCAATACGACCCGAGGAACCCTTCTGGCAGCGCCTCTTCCAACAACAGTTCATCCTCCAACAACAAATGCAACATAAACAACAACAACAACAACAACAACAGCAAATGCAACAACAAGAGTTGTTGCAGCAACAACAGCGCCGGGTGAACCAGCAGCCGCTCCCAGCTGCTGCGAAGGAAGAACAGTGGCCTGACATAACGGGCGGAGAAAGCCTGTGGGAGACGCCCCTGACACGTCCACCTCCGCCCAGCTCTTCTGTAATCACCGCCAACACCCAGCTTATCCAGCAACAAAAGGTACTTGGTCGTTCTGCGCATGCACACTACCCTCCCCCCCACACACACACACACACAATCTTTGTGGTTCGATACAACAACCAAATGGGGGGTGGTTGCTTCAACGGTATTTAGTGTCAAAACAGAGAATGATATTTGAGTTTTACGGTCACGATAGCCTCTAGTGAAGAAAGGCGTATTGTGGGAGTTTAAAGTTGTGACATCATAATTATGTTCCGCTTCCATGACGACGCTAATGTTTTCTGCCGCTACAGAAACCCGAGGAAAAAGTGAGGAGGATTGAAGAGGAGAGAGAGGAAAAGATGCGGAGGGAGTCTGAAGAACGGTACATGTTCTCTAACTCTCTTCCCTTATTTCTTTACATACGTACGTACGTATTAATAGTCCCAGCAATTGATTTTTTTAGTGAGAGTAAGAAAAGATTGTCGTCTGTAAATTTGTGTGTGTATAATGTGCGCCCATGTGTGTGTGTGTGTGTGCGAAAAATGTGTGTATGTGATGTGCAGAAAGAGGGCAGAAGAAGAACGACAGAGACAAGTGGCAGCTGAGCTGGCCAGGAAGCAGAGAGATGAAGAGGAGGCGAAAAAGCGCGTCCTGGAGCAAGAACGGGAGAGACAGGAACAGATGAAGCGCGAGCAGCAGGAGAGAGTGCGGCAGGAGCAACTGAGGAGGGAGGAGGAAGAGAGGGCGCGGAAAGAGCAGCTGCGGGCGGAGCTGACGAGGCAGCAGGAGAAGATGAGGAAGGAGCAGGAGAGGGCGAGGCTGGAGCAGATGAGGAGGGAGGAGGAGAAGAAGAAAGCCGAAGAACAGGAGAAACTGAGACTTGGTATAATTATACTTCCACTAACCACACGGATACATACAGAGGCTTTCCTTTAGGATGCCGTTCAGCTGAATGAAATTTTGCATAAGAACTTTTCACGGCTAAGATTATACATACAATGAGCAAACTATTCGTGGGTTATCAGCGAAGATGGACGTCGACAGTTTGGCAATATGTTGTACTATATACTAGTACTTATCTCCCTCTCTTTAATCTAGTTTGGCAATATGTTGTACTATATACTAGTACTTATCTCCCTCTCTTTAATCTAGTTTGGCAATATGTTGTGCTATATACTAGTACTTATCTCCCTCTCTTTAATCTAGTTTGGCAATATGTTGTACTATATACTAGTACTTATCTCCCTCTCTTTAATCTAGTTTGGCAATATGTTGTGCTATATACTAGTACTTATCTCCCTCTCTTTAATCTAGTTTGGCAATATGTTGTACTATATACTAGTACTTATCTCCCTCTTTTCCCTCTCCCTCCCATCCTCCACGTCTGCAGCTAAAGAACAGCAAAGAAAGCACGAGATGTACCTTCAACAACAACAACAACAACAACAACAACACAGCTTATCGAACAACAACAAGAACTACAGAGGAAACAACAAATGGAACACCAACAGAGACAATTGAGGCTGCAGCGAGAGCAAGACGTTCAGAGGTCAACTCAGCAACAGCTGGGGTCGTTGCCATGGGTGCCACAGACCACACCCACCAGTCAACAAGCTCCGTCGTTACTCCAGATACAGCAGGAGGAGGAGTCTCAGGCAAAAGAAATGGTGAGTTTGGGTTTTAGTCTGAAACAAAACTACATTCATCCAGCGCCAAACAAAATAGGCAAATATCCATGTTTATTGGTGTTATTTTTTCACCGAGTGTTTATTCAGTGCTTTTAACTACATGTGTGATCTACTAACAATAACTAGGATGAGTTTCCCTCTCCTCTCCTCCACTTATCTCTCTCTCTCTCTTCTCTATTATAACTATAGCGAAATCGCGAAGAGCAGATGAGGACGCAACACATGAAATTGTTTCAACAGCCACAACAACCACAACCGCAGCTTGGATGGGGAAAGAGGTCTGTCTGTGCTAGTTAATTAACCCTTTAACCACCACCAATTAATTAACCCCTTCGCAACGTCATTCTCGTACTCTATTGTTACTCTTTCCCCTCCTCTCCGTCTTTTTGCCATTTTCTCTTCCTCCTCTCCCCCCCCTCTCATCCCCTCTCTATTCCTCCTCTCTCTTCCTCCTCTCCCCCCTCTCTCATCTTCTCTCTCTTCCTCCTCTCCCCCCTCTCTCATCCCCTCACTTACACTAGCTCGATAAAGAAGCCAAAATCGCTGGTAGAGATTCAACAGGAGCAGCAGACAGACCCACAAGAGTTGACCACACCCACTTCCGCCAGTGGGCACGGTCTAAAGGGGAAGTCATACTTTACCTTTGGAACACCAGTGAAGAATTAATCACGAATTTTGAAACTTAAAAATGTTTGCCTTTTTGCAGAGTTCACTGAACCCACCTCCAAATGTACAAAATTGGAGCTCGTTGGCGGGCAAGAAAGCTCCGCCTACTTCCTGGGGTGGTGGACAGCCACACCCACATGACGAGGTGGCAATGACGTCGTCCAATCAGAAGGGGGGTAACAGGCCGCAGTTCAAAATCGCTGACGGCGAACTAGACGAGGTGTCGTTCTGGGACGACTGTGCCAGGGAGGTGAAGAACAGCCGTAGTCATGGCAACCAGAGTGGTAGTCATGGGAACCAGAGTGGTAGTCATGGCAACCAGAGTGGACCTTCGTGGGGAGAGGGCGCGGCTCCGAAGAAGAAAGACAGGGAGGAGGTAATGGAGAGAGAGAAGAGAGGGGAATAGCTTGATCCACATCATCCAGATTAATGTGTGGTGTGTGGATTGCCCAAATCCACTTTTTTACCTGGGTCAAGCATCTAGCTGTCACTCGTTCTTCTGGTGTGTGTCCTTTAGGAGAACATTCGACGACTGTTTTCAGTCAACTCTGCAACGGAGGAGTTCAACCAGTGGTGTGAGAGAGAGCTCAAGAAATTCTCCACTGATGTCGATGGTACGAAATAATGTGCATCACTTACCTATTGCAGGCCATACGTTTTCGTTTGGCCCCCAAACAGTCATCCTGACAAAACGTTACTTACCTAATTCGTGGCAACCCTTGACTTCATTACCTCCCCCTTTCTCTCCCTCTTCCTCACTACCCCTCCTCCCCACCAGCTCAAACCTTCATCAGCTTTCTGCTGGAAGTGGACTCGGTGTACGAGGTGCACGACTACATCAAGTCCTATCTCGGAGAGACGGACGAAGCACACGAGTTTGCCAAATCTTTCCTCGATCGCAGACAGAAGATCAAATCAACCAATAACCTTCCTCCGGCATCACAGGTAAGAATAATGATAATTTCCAACCTGGCTCTTTCACTACTGTGTATTATAATCAATAATTACGTACACCGATAATTATGAGTCGATTTGTGGGAATCAGACTATGGGACAAATTTATATGTTTGCAAAAAAACAGCAAATGTATCGGGTATACAATGCACTATACATAAGTAATAGTAGCCGAAGGTGACGGCCATGCAAATTTTGGGTCAGTGGTGTTAGGTTTTGTGTTGGTGTATTTTGTTGAATGCAGGGCAAGAAATCCCGCCCTAAGAACAACAGCAGTGCCCACGCAGAACTCTCCCCGGCTGATCCAATCAAAATGGGTGGGGCCTCTGGTGTTGGGGGTGTGGCTAGCAGCAGCAGCGAGGGGAGTGGAGGAGGAGGGGGTACATCGAGGTCGAGCAAGAAGAAGAAGAAAAAGATGCAGAAAGTCAATCCAGCTGCCCTCCTCGGCTTTACTGTCAATGCAGGGGAACGACCAAATATGGGAGGAGAGATACAGTCAGCGAAAGATGCCGTGTAGAGTCACGCACGTTGCCTAGCAACCAGGACCATTGTCACGGACACCATCTTTCACCATCTCTTATTACAAGACTGTTTCTTTCCCCTGTTGTACTGCCATCGTTGGGCACCTTTGTTGTACTATGTGTTTCTGAAGTAATTTGAGAATTGATGATTCTTTTTACCTGCTCCGATCGGCTAAACATAGTAACATTGTTTGCCAAAAAATACGGCCTATATATACTAGCCCAGAATGCCAAAACCAATACCACACACCCAGTCTGGCCCAGAATGTCAAAACCAATACCACACTCCCTACTGGACTGGTCTGGCCCAGAATGCCAAAACCAATACCACACACCCTACCAGACTGGACTGGTGTGGCCCATAAGGTCAAAACCAATATATATCACACAGCCTACTGGACTGGTCTGGCCCAGAATGCCAAAACCAACACCACACGCCCAAGAGTGATGCCACATTATATACAAGAATGCCAATATCCAATGCCTCAAACCCTACCGGACTGGTTTGGTAATAGTAAAACTGAACCAGCCCAGAATGCCAAAACCAACACCACACGCCCAAGAGTGCCAAAACCATATGCCACATTATATACAAGAATGCCAATATCCAATGCCACACCCCCTACCGGACTGGTTTGGTAATAGTAAAACTGAACCAGCCCAGAATGCCAGAACCACTACACCCTATGCCACTAACAAAGCCTACACTACGAGCCCAGAATGCCAAAACCACTACAGCCTATGCCACTACACTACGAGCCCAGAATGCCAAAACCACTTACAGCCTACGCCACTAACAAAGCCTACACTACGAGCCCAGAATGCCAAAACCACTACAGCCTATGCCACTACACTACGAGCCCAGAATGCCAAAACCACTTACAGCCTACGCCACTAACAAAGCCTACACTACGAGCCCGGAATGCCAAAACCACTACAGCCTACGCCACTAACTAAGCCTACACTACCAGCCCACAATGCCAAAACCACTACAGCCTATGCCACTAACAAAGCCTACACTACGAGCCCAGAATGCCAAAACCACTACAGCCTATGCCACTAACAAAGCCTACACTACGAGCCAGAACCACTACACCCTATGCCACTAACAAAGCCTACACTATGAGCCCAGAATGCCAGAACCACTACACCCTACGCTACTAACAAAGCCTACACTACGAGCCCAGAATGCCAGAACCACTACAGCCTATGCCACTAACAAAGCCTACACTACGAGCCAGAACCACTACAGCCTATGCCACTAACAAAGCCTACACTACGAGCCAGAACCACTACACCCTACGCCACTAACAAAGCCTACACTACGAGCCAGAACCACTACACCCTATGCCACTAACTTACACTACGAGCCCAGAATGCCAAAACCACTACACCCTATGCCACTAACAAAGCCTACACTACGAGCCAAAACCACTACAGCCTATGCCACTAACTTACACTACGAGCCCAGAATGCCAAAACCACTACACCCTATGCCACTAACAAAGCCTACACTACGAGCCCAGAATGCCAAAAAGTCTCTAGATCAAAATGGTCTAGCAATCTTGGCCATCATACGTACAATGTTGGTGCGAAATCACGATGAGCAATTGATAAACAAGCATCCAGAAAATGAATCATTTTTTAATGATATATACAATAATGGAAATGAATATTTGAGAAATCTAGCTGCTATAATTACAATACCTACCCTGTACAACTGCTAATGTAAAGACAATAACCACAAGGCTTCAAAACATTACTCTGGCTTTGGGGATCCGGAAAAGTCAAAAATTTGCCAACAATAATAATTTATGTAAACGTCCCATTCCTAAACAAGCTTTTCTATCTCTCCTCTTTCCTTCTCGTCCCTCGCGTGTCGGGATTTTCAGAGGATGGTGCATTGGCGTCCGGAGTTCGCCCTGTTTTCATTCTGTTTCTGGGTCAGTACGGAGTCGAGCATGCTGTTCCATTGGCTCTGCAATCCGGAATAGAGATCCGGGGCCTTGCGAGCCGCCTCGATGATCTTGAAGTCCAGCGGAGGGTTTGTGAGAAGTTTCCCGTCCTCCGCCCACGTGTAGAGGCAGGCGCCGGTTCCGGTATAGAATGGGGACAGTCGGATGACGTAGACCTGTGCAATGAAGGGGCAAAAGTATGTTTTGAATGTTGGCAATAGGAATGTTGTAATTATCGATTCTTGCCACACTGGGCCTATGGTTTAGCCCTTTATAAGGGAAAATGTTGTACAGTACTGCATCCTTGCACTGGGTCCTACTGTTTAGTTCCATCTTTAGTACAACTTCTAAATTTAGCCTTTAGTACAACTTTTAAACTTAGCCCTTATGTAGTTATTAGTACAACTTCTAAATTTAGCCTTTAGTACAACTTCTAAATTTAGATCTTTACGTATAATACTGCCACCATCCCCCCTAACTTGGAAGAGGCTCGGAGAAAGAAGGAAAGATAGAGAGAGAGGGAGAAAGAGAGGGAGAAGAGAGGGAGAAAGAGGGGAGAAATTACAACAGGAAAACAAAGGTTTGAGGAAAATCAAACCTTTTCAGTGGAAACAAAGACGTCAATGACGTAGCTTCCTTGTTCAGCCAACGACTCTTTGATCTGCTCGTCAAAGAATTTCTTTACTTTGTACTGGACGATGTTCTTGTACTGTGCCACGTTGGGGAAGTAGGTGACGTCGTCATGTTTCTGTGAGAGAGCCGTTAGCTCACCCTGCGACCGAGGGAAAGGGGAAAGAGGAGGGAGAGGAGGGAGAGGGGAATATTAGTTTCATAACCCATACTTGGTTACATTGAAAGTGTCCTTTATTCAGAGTGTCCTCTATTTGGAGGTGGTATTATCAAACAGAACCAAGTGTCCTTTATTCAGGTGTCCTCTATTAATTTGGAGGTGGTATTATCAAAGCGGAACAAGTGTCCCTTAAGGTGTCCTCTATTTGGGGGTCCTTTTCTGGAGGTTTGACTGTAGCATTCTTCACCAGATTACAGTTGAACCTCCAATAACGTACCCCTAAGGGGCGCCTCTCTACAAAGGACACTTGGTTCTGGCCCACACTATTAAGAAGGAGAAGTGGGTTTAAAACTTGCCTCGTATACGAAACCTCTGAACACCATGCCAGGGTAACGAGCTATGTCGGCATGGAAACGGGTGACGGAGATGGTGGCAGACACGCCCTCAATTTCCCCGAAGCTTTTGAGCTGTTCAAGATACTATGTATATCAGGGAGGTAGGGAGGGAGAGAGAGGGAGGTGGAGAGAGGGAGAGAGGGAGGGAGTGAGGAAGAGAGTGAACAATGGAGTGAAAGAGGAACAGGGAAGAAGGAGTCCATTAAAAAAAGGTATAATAATGGGTTCAGCTGTTTTAGGGCATTACTCCATATAAAGCACGGTTTACATCATGTCTTCCATTATCTAATGTAACCCCTAGACCCGCCCCCTTCTCGTATTCCATGTGTGTGTGATTCATATGAAGTAAGAACTGGTTTTCAGAACAGGTCAAACCTGTTTAATGAGTCCGCTCCTGAGGAGCATGTCCATGGCTTCTTTCCCGCTGGCTGCTCTGTACATGGAGGTGACGGCGCAACCGAAGGCACGCAGGATCTCGTTCTCCAGAGACTCGGATTTGACCTTACAGACTGGGGGCAGCTCTTCTTTGTTGGGCTGGAGTAAAACAGAGGGGGGGATTGATGATGATGAATTGCCAAGATTACTAAGAAATCACGGTTTTATGATAAAGAATCATTTCAGGAGTGTCTTAAGAAAGGGGCTCCACTGCTACTCGTCAAAAAGAGAAGAGAGATGGCAAAAGAAAGTGACGGAAACGGAACGAAATCAGGTGAACATACATACCTCAGGAGGCTGCTCAGGCTCTTGTTCTGGTGCTGCTGCTGGACTTATCTCCTCTGTAGTAATAGATTAGTAGTCATGTGACAGTCACATGACACTTAGGTTGTCATGGTGAGGGGAACATTGTCACATGATTAGAACCAACTAACGTTATCACTCGGTAGTTATGTAGTCGCATGAGCCCAGAATCACGTGACAGTCATGTGATTAATGCCCAGAGTCACATGACCCTCATTACCTTCATTTTTCTCCTCAGGTTTTGCTCCACCCTCTTGTTGTTGAGTAGGCTCAGCTGGGGTAGCCTGTTCCTCGCCCATCTCTGCCTTCTCTTCTCCTTTACCTAACAATACAGTCATACATAATACAGTGGAACCTCTCCACTCCTGACACCAATGGAACGGAAGTGTCAATATTAGCGAAGTGTCCGTATTTTGGAGGTTAAATTGCGTGCAAGCTGTTCTTGGAGAAAGAAAAAGTGTGAGAGGTGTCCTTATAGTGACGGGTTATGTATAAAGGGAGTTGCTGACCATATTAACAACTCATATGTCATACTAATTATGTACGCTGCTACGTGTACGCTGGTATTATACTGTGATATACACTAAGTACAATAAGTCACCTTCCACTTGAGCTTCAACTGTTACAGCTGCAGCTGGTTCGTCTCCCTCTTGTTTCTCTCCTTCTCCCCCCTCGTCCTCCTTCTCCACCTCTCCCTCTTCCTTCTCCACCTCTCCCTCTTTCTTTTCTCCCCCTTCTTCCTCTTTCTTCTCCTCCTCCGCCTGCTCAGGCTTATCTGCGTCTGCAAGATTTTCAGTTAACCCTCTCACAACAGGTTAAACATGTCGTAAACCACTCCACGAGGGGTTAAAGCATTTATCTCACGTACACATCACTAGGGGTTAAAGCATATAAGGAAGTTTCAATACCTTCAAGTTGGGTAGGTCTCTCTTTCTTAGAGCTAGAGGAGGTGCTGGGAGCTCTTTGTCTCCGGAACGACTGACGAAGCCGGGTCATCCCGCGGCGGAAGGCTCCCTCTGTCTTCTCCGTGTCTCGCCAGATGAGGTAGGCGTTGGCCGACTGCTTGAACACCTCCAGTTCGTTGATGACCGCGTCCCGGATCCGCGCCACGAACTCGGCGTCGTTCCGTTCCAGAATGGAATCAGTAGGGTTTCTGGAGTATAGAAAGTGAATAGCTACATCAGTAAAACAACACATGTGCGCAGTGGTTCAGGTGCAACTTAGCCATCAAAAAATAATGTAGCTCTCAGGCTAAAAAATTGCGACATTCTTACAGCCGTAACTCCCCTAATACCCATACTGCTTTAAACAGTTTTGATATTAACCCTTCTTATACCTGTCATTAACCCTTATGAAACCGCCGTCCCCTTGGAATTTCTCGATGGCATCGTTGAGTTTATTTTCGAGTTGTTCGAGAGTTTCTTTCTGTTCGTCTGTGAGGTCTGGTTTCTCGGTCTGCCCCGGGTGAGACGCAGCCAACAGAACATCCACCTTGGAGGAGAGAGAGAGAGGGGGAGAGGACGCGAGGAGGAGATGGCAGGGGAAGGCGCGCGCGTCGCGCGCGCGGCGCGCGTCGCGCGTGCGCAGCGCTGCGTTTCGCTCGTGCGCGCGCTGTCGCGACGACAGGAGCGTGCGCGTGTCGTCGCGCTGCGCTGTTCTGCGCGGGGCAGAGAGGGAAGAGAGGGAAGAGAGGAGCAGGGATAGGCGCAGAGGCCGGCAGAGGGACGCGACAAAGTCCATGCAGACAAGGAGTGTCGATGTTAACAGGACGCTGAGCGCGACGGGGAGTCCGTCGCACACCAGCAGGTGTAAAACGAGTCGAACAAAGTAAATTTGTAAGACATGCTGGCAATAAACTGAACCGAAGTGCAAACAAATTGGAGGCCTTCCTTTTTAGGTTACATGCCACGGTCTTTGGCAGCATCAGCAATTAGGTAACATTCACATAATATGTCCCTTCTCTCTTCTTTCTTTCCTTCTCCCTCTCTCTTCTTTCTTCCCTCTCTCTATTTCTCCCTCTCTCTTCTTCCTTTCCCTCTCTCTATTTCCCCCTCTCTCTTCTTCCTTTCCCTCTCTCTATTTCTCCCTCTCTCTTCTTTCTTTCCCTCTCTCTCTATTTCTCCCTCTCTCTTCTTTCTTTCCCTCTCTCTATTTCTCCCTCTCTCTTCTTTCTTTCCCTCTCTCTTCTTCCTTTCCCTCTCTCTATTTCCCCCTCTCTCTTCTTTCTTTCCCTCTCCCCTCTTTCTTTCCCTCTCTCTTCTTCCTTTCCCTCTCTCTATTTCTCCCTCTCTCTTCTTTCTTTTCTTCCCTCTCTCTATTTCTCCCTCTCTCTTCTTTCTTCCTCTTTCTTCCTTTCCACGAATGACTCTCTATTTCCCCCTCTCTCAGAAGAGGGTATCTTCTTCCTCTCTCTTCTTTCTTTCCCTCTCTCTTCTTCCTTTCCCTCTCTCTATTTCTCCCTCTCTCTTCTTCCTTTCCCTCTCTCTATTTCCCCCTCTCTCTTCTTTCTTTCCCTCTCTCTTCTTTCTTTCCCTCTCTCTACTTTCTTTCCCTCTCTCTTCTTTCTTTCCCTCTCTCTATTTCTCCCTCTCTCTCCTTCTCTCTATTTCTCCCTCTCTCTTCTTCCTTTCCCTCTCTCTATTTCTCCCATTGCTAACTCACCTCAGTTTCGAGAGTGAGATGAATTCGGTAGGAAACGTGTGTTCGGAGAGAGCATCGTACCACGTCCTTATGGAGTAGGCCAGCTGGAAACTAGCGTGTCTGTGAAACAAGAGAGAAGAGAGACACTAATCTTATCCATACACCAGATGGTTCACCATTTAACACCTCATTTAGTGGTCTAGTCTCAAAATGGACAACTAGATAGGCTATCTTAATTTCCATTACAAGGGTAAAAAGCAAAGTAACAGGCATTGCCTCAATCGGAATGAATACCTGACCACATTTTGATAATTTTTAAGTTCATGGGTTGAATTCTACTACGTCTAATTAATTTCCTACAGCTTCGTTTTAATACCAAAGTGACCCACACAGCTCAACACTAAAATTGCATAATTATAGTGCACTTTGAACTCTGACTTTTAATCCGGATTCTTTGGCTATAGTATTTCACCTTAATGCATTCCACTATAGCACCAATTTCTCTATGCATTTCCCAAGCCCTTGCAACTCCCAAAATGCAAATGTACGGAATTAATACAGTTTTTCTTGCTACACTGAACAATGCAAATCCTAGGAGGGACCGTCTTTCTAAATGAAGGCCTGCAACAAACTATATCTCACTCGCTTCGTGGGGGAAAATGTGCAGTTCCATGAGTTGGTAATTACATGGGAATGAATGTTTTAACACAGGGAGGTGTTGCCAAGGGGACAATGGCAGGTTTCGGTTGTGTGTAGGTGTCTCCATGGATACACTTAGATGATATCTTCCTGTGGTGGCCAAAGGTTCCTAGGGAGGGCTTGTCTATGATGACTTGTGGTAGATACCTCATGAAGTCAGTGACTTAGAATTTCTTCATTTCCACCCCCACTCCCTTTAACTCCCACACCCTTTTCTTTTATGGATGCACTGTGTTCAGAGAGGCTTATAGAGGTGTTTAAAATATGTCCTGAGCTGTGGGGATTCTTGTTACTGTCGCTAGGTCATTGGTATGAACCTATGAAACTCAATGCCATAACTTACAATAGTCTTGGTTGGCTTCTAGCATGCATCCCATTGTACTATTTATGTATGTATGTCCATACCAGCTTGCCTTTACTGCGTTCCTGGCTCCTACAACTATGGGATTGTGTTTTGTGCAGTGTGTGTGCACTTATATGTGTGCTTTTGGCGACATCGTAGAGAATCCCGTGACGTCGTGTGACACAATCGCTGAGGGTCAAAAGTGATGCAACACTATATAGGTCACAGTATGCTACTGCATGTCCTACAAGCTAGGCTTGTTGCTACAGTGCGATGAAAATTCCTTAATTTCGTATCGCATAGCATCGCAAGGTCCTGAAATGTATTGGGAGCAAGGTGCATTTGCTTAAGCGTCTCAGAGCCTACAGTGAAGACTAATTTGGTTACAACATGGATTGTTACGGTACATTTAGCACAACAAAGGTGCTCATATATGTAACATTAGTGGGGTGTGTGTCTAAATATATCCCACAGGCTAGGATTGTTGCTAAATATAGAACAGTGCTATTAAAATTGAGTACTCTAGACCAAAGGAACGGCTGTTGGGTTCCAGGTTTACTCAACCCAAATTTAACCCCACACGTACACGTGGACTTTTTATAGTATAAGTTTAATATAGGATGAGTGTTATAGCTGAGTAAAGAGTATATGACCATGGTCTTTTCTTTAGTGTCCACTACTTGTATATACAACATTACACTGACCTCAACTGCAGAAGAAGCAGACCAATAAGTGTAGATCTGTTGTGTAAGACTATGCACTACATGCCAGCACCCCTTACAACATGCAGTGTGCCACTGGCCGGACAACCCGGAAACCTGTGAGGGGCATTTGTGCTGCTGCAGTCGTATGAACAATGCCACGTGTACAGAGTTTGCAGAGTCACGACGGATGATGCATTGGGTAACCAACACAAACTATTCGTGCACTCAAACCCAGTCGTACCAAGGGCGCTTCTTCGCTTTGCCTGCCTTTTGTGCTGTTTTACGTGCATGAGCTCGTGATCTCCGTGTTTTGTGTTGGGGTTATGTGGGGATGATTGGTCTCGATCCACATCTGGTGCCGGGGTCTAGAACGGCCGCATGGCAATCAGACACACACACACTACACACCACACACACACACACCACACACACCACACACACACACACACACACACAAACAAACACAAAACACTAAAACACACCATACACACACACACACACACATACGACCACACACACCACACACACAACACCACACACACACACACACACACACACACACATCACAAACCACACACACACACACCACACACACACCAGAAAAAGTCTATACGATACTATAAGTACTTGTACCCTAGTACTTATATAGTATGTGAGTATACTTAGCAATCATAAGCCGCCAATGTACAGCACAACATTCTTTAAAGCCGAATTCCTCCTCGCTCCCGTCCTTCCCTAAAGTGCCGAAAATGTACGAGGAATTTTCCGTGTCGTACAAAGGCTTGCTATGCGAAATTTTGTAGGAGTTATTATAAGCGATGCGCGAGAAAGTCTCGTTTGAAACTGGAACGAGAATGAGTATGTGGACCCATGCTAGAGCAATATATCTCGTGGTATGCCCATCCTAAGGTATAGAGTGTGCCTACGAAGGTAATAGTAAGGTAATAGAGATCCATACTATGTAATTAGAGAAGTAATAGTAACTCCATACTAAGGGAATCAGCTCCATCCTACGGTCTGTACTAATCGATCTAGGTCAGTCACATTACGAGTTCACACTACGATGGAGGTCTTGGGTTTAAAAGCGGCTCATAGTAGGCAGTAATCCCTATTAGTTCATATTCTAACGAAGTCTATATATACATAAAGTGGTGGGAGTGGCTACTGGAAAGCAGTGATCATCGATCTTCTGGGACGCCGTAGCAAGACACCTGCGCTGGGTGGTCGGGGAGCGCACTGGGGTGGGCTCAGCGTGCCTCGTGATGGTTACCTTCTGGGGTAGACGAGAGGAAGAGGAGGAAGTGAGAGGAGAATAGGCAAGAAAGCTACACATGAATCATGGTTAAACACAAGACAGCCCTTTCATTTCACCATGCAGCGTACGACATGATCATTGGTGTAAATCACAAGACCATCCCTTTCATGTCATTCACCATGCAGCGTACACATGATGCATTGGGTTAACCAAGACACACAGATGAAAAGAAAGCAGACCATCAGCAACCGAACCCGACCACAACGCATGCGTCCGTGTCGGCAGGAAAGGGGTGTCATGTGGTAATGGCCTTTGGGAGCATAAATGCTCATAACACAAG